GTTCGATTCCTCCGCTCCTCTCAGAGAGCCCGGCAAGCTACTGAGAGTATTCGATATGCCAGACACAGTAACAACAAAGTCTCCAATGGAGACGTTACTGGGCCCGCTCGAGCAAATCGACGATCAACGGGAGGGCCTTTACCTTTACCTAGTCTGGGAAGACACATGTTCTATGAATGTTCAATTTGAAAATTAAAAAAATAAATTCAGATTGACTAATTGTGTTTGCATAGTTATGAAGAATAAAAAAAAGGGGGTGGAGAATGGGCACTGGTGAAGGTACAGGTGTTTCATTGTATGACTGAGACTTAAGCCCAAAAGCTTTGTAACTGCTCTCACGGTGATTCAATAAATAAAATTATAAAAAATAGAAAAGTAAAGTTGAGTTCATGCCCAATTCAATCAGCTAATCAGTGGCTGAATAGATAGCAGTCCTCCTACATAAAAATAAAATAAAATAATTAAAAAATACAGTTCCTCGGTCAGAATTCTCTTGTTTCTATTCCTTTTGCACTAAGTCACTAAACCATTTTTTTTTCGTTTTTTTATGTAGGAGTACTGCTATTTATTCAGCCACTGATTAGCTGATTAAATTGGGCATGCACTCCATCTTACTTTTTTTCATAATTTTATTTATATATTATTTTTCTTCTTATATTTATTTATTTAAGGGCTGGAGCGATAGCACAGCGGGTAGGGCATTCGCCTTACAAGCGGCCAACATGGCCGACCCGAGTTCGATTCCTCTGCCCCTCTCGGAGAGCCCGGCAAGCTACCGAGAGTATTCGATATGCCAGACACAGTAACAACAAAGTCTCCAATGGAGACGTTACTGGGCCCGCTCGAGCAAATCGACGATCAACGGGAGGGTCTTTTATATTTATTTATTGAATCACTGTGGGAAAAGTTACTAAGCTTTCAGGTTTAAGTCTCGGTCACACAATGATCAAACACCTCTCCCTTCACCAGTACTCATTTTTTCACCACCAAGAACCCCAATATATCCCCCTTCCCACCCCTCCCAATGCCTGTGAGGCAGATGATTTCCACTTAACTATTCTCTACATTGATTGCGTTCATTATTTTGACAAAAGATGCACCATTATTGTTTAGAATTTACCCCCCCCCCCCAACAATCAGAATTGCTGAAAGGTCATTGTGAAATACTTCATTTTCTATAGCTGGTTATGAGAATCATATAATCTCACATGGCCTCAATAGCAGCCTCGTGATTTTGGATTTCTGCAAAGAGCCAGATAATTACGAGATTGGTTTCTGTGCATCTGGTGTTATGGCTGTGCTGGAGAGCCACTCGTGGGGGGCAACTCGTGACCTTGGTAGGGCGCAAAGGACCAGCCGGTACCGCCCCCCTTCCCATGAGACTGCAGTTGCCCTGTCAACACCAGCTCATACCTGGCTTTCTTATAAGCTCTGAGGCGGTGGCCACCTTGCTGCTTGGGGTGGGGGTGGGGGTGGGGGAAGGCAGAAGGGAGCCACAGCCTTTCCCTCCTGGGGAGGCATGGCGCTGTGTAAACCATTTTTCCAATGCAAAGAAAATCTGGCATTTGGTAGAAACAAAAACTATTCTTTATTTTGAGCAAGAAGCATATTTATCATATGTTCAGCAGAGACTGGGGGGGGGGGTTACTAAGGGATTGAGCCATGTATGGTTGTGCTCAGTATGTATTCCCGGCAGAACTTTGAGTCCTATAGGTGGTGCCACGGTTCAACCTGGGTCAGCTGCATGCAAGGCAAGTTTCTTACCTGCTGTACTCTCTCTCTGGCAAGACAACAAAGACTTTTTTCCCCCCCAGCTGAAAAACACTAAAGGGTTTCATTGCATTTTAGGAAATTGTCATCAATCCGAGATTTAGCAACCATCAAAAAACCAACTCCATAATTCAAGCTTTTATAGCATGAGTGCGACTTGTAATCTCTACAATAAGAAAAAAAATTACTAAACAAAAGGGGAAAGTGTTTATAAACCATAGTATTCCTTTGCAAAGAAAGACTGCTTTATGCTTTTAAAAGCGTTTGATAATTTAAATGAAACTTATGTTTGAAATTAGAGCCAGGTGTGACATATTTCAGGCATAATTTACTAGCTGCATCAAGTATTTCATTATGATTTAGTAAAAGGCACCCAACAATTCCATATTTCATAGAAATATCACAAATACAAGGATCTCATTCAGAAATGCAAAGTTTGGCAGGTTTCCAGGACAGGAATTTGCAAGACGAAAGGTAAATTTATTTATTAAAATAAATCAAATGACTGACACTTTCCAGAAAACTGGCAAAACAGTAATATCCCAGTGTAAAGTTTACTTCCAAATTAAAAGAAAAAAATCCAAGATATTTATTATAGGAACCCCAATAATGTCATAGACCATTGGGTCTAGGAAATTTTTGGAAGTCCCCAAGTTATCATTGAGAAATTATTTAGAAAACCTCAAGTTAATATTGAGAAACTTAACTTTAAAATACATGGTTTCGGCGTAGGACTTTCTAAAAACTCTCTTTTGTAAAATCTAGTAATTATGATTTTTGGAGGGCTTATAATGACATTCTTTATCTTTTTCTAGCTTATATGTAGTCAATGATGAGTATTCTTTGACAGAATAACTGTAGAAGCAATCTAGATCGTTCTGAAATCGTTCTGAAACACACTGCTTCCTTCTTACCACATGTGGTTCTCACCCCTCAGTTCTACTTTCCCCAGTCTGGATCCCTCTTGCATCAGCAGCATTTGCCATGGCCTGAATGTTCACATACCTCTAAAATTCATGTGTTGAGCTAAAACCCAGGAAGTCGAGTTGCATTTGGAGGAGGGAGTCTAAGGACTAAGTAAGGGACAGACAACTCATAAGGATAGTGCCCCGATCAGAGAGGATTAGTGTCTTCATAAGATAGTAGACAGTTACTTGGCATTCTCACCCCCTCTGCCCCTAGGCAATCCCTCTGTCCTGTTCTTCCCAAACCTATGCACAAGAAGAGATCATGTCAGCACACGGCAGAATGGCTTTAAGAGATCTCAGAATGAAACCTGCCTATCCGACACCCAGAACTGTAATAAATTTCTGCGGCTTCAGTCATCTGATTTGTGTATTTTGTTATAGTCACCTAAGCATAATACAACCAATGCGACAGTTATTCAATACTTTTATATTCAACCTGTCTTTTACTGCTTAACTTTTCATAAGTTAAGTTTAAATATATTTATACTGAACTATAATGTATTTTTATTATATTGGGAGGGCGCACAGCAGCAGTGCTCAGGGGTTACTCTTGGCTCTGTACTCAGGAATAGCTCCAGGCGGGCTTGGATGCTGGGAATAGAACCCATGTCTGCTATGCAAAGCAAGCCCCCTACCTGCTGTACTATCTTTCTGGCCTCAAACTCTGAAGTATTATTGAGTGCAACGCAAAACTTTTACTTCTTTTTAGAAGACTTCAAAGAAAGTTGTTATTGATAATGTTAATTAACCACAGTTAAGACTGAAAATTATCATAAGCCTACTCACGTCCATGATGCATAAAATACGATGTATGTAATACATCTGCTGTATTATATAATGTATATAATATAAATGCACTGACGCACATTTTCTAATGCAATTGTCACAACGCTAGAAAGCAGGAAAGTCTTGTGTGGGGTTAGTGGGTGGGGAGAGGGGACCGTGAACGGTGGTTGAAGTCACACCCAGAGGTGCTCAGGGCTTGCTCCCGGCTCTGTGCTCAGGGATCAACTCCCGGCTCTGTGCTCAGGGCTCACTGCAGGCTCTGTTCTCTGGGCTCACTCCCGGCTCTGTACACTCCGGCTCTGTGCTCAGGGTTCATTCCCGGCTCTGTGCTCAGGGCTCACTCCCGGCTCTGTGCTCAGGGCTCGCTCCTGGCTCGGTGATCAGGGCTCACTGCAGGCTCAGTGCTCAGGGCTCGCTCCCGGCTCGGTGCTCAGGGCTCACTCCCGGCTCGGTGCTCAGGGCTCACTCCCCGGCTGCTCAGTGCTTGCTCCCGGCTCAGTGCTCAGGGATCACTCCCAGCTCTGTGCTCAGGACTCGCTCCAGGCTCTGTGCTCAGGGCTTACTCCTGCCTCTGTGCTCAGGGCTCACTCCTGGTTCTGTGCTCAGGACTCGCTCCAGGCTCTATGCTCAGGGCTTACTCCTGTCTCTGTGCTCAGGGCTCACTCCCGGCTCTGTGCTCAGGGCTCACTCCTGGTTCTGTGCTCAGGGCTCACTGCAGGCTCTGTGCTTAGGCCTCACTCCTGGAGGGGCTGAAGTGGCGGGGATGGGATCCGGATCCTCTGTGTGCAAGGCAAGTGCCTTGTCCGCTGCAGGATGACCACCACACCGTCCCCCAATCGCCCCCCCCCCCCCCCCCGCTTTCCAAAGAGGGATGTATTAATCTTCTTGCTAGGCACTTTCAGGAAACTTTTCAGGCATTTTCCTATGACAATCGCACTATTCTCTCTTCTGGCGTTTTCTCTGGTTTGCTTTGTCCTTGCCTGCCGCTGCGTCTGTTGGAGCCGGGCCGAGGCCGGCAGGTGCAGGGGGCTGACGAGCCCCCGGAGAGCAGGGTCGGGACCCGCGCGGGCCTGAGAGCGGCTGGGGGTGGGGGAGTAGGGGCTGGGTGGTCGAGAAGGAGAGGAGGCCAGACAGACGAGCGGACATTCCAGGATGGACCGGGGTGGGAGGTGGGTACCGGGTGGAGTGGTGGGGTGGGGAGGGGGTCTGCCGCGAGGCGCGTCTCCGTGCAAGGTCTACACCAGCGCTTTCCTGCTTCCCGGGCGCCGGCGAACGGCAGGGCACGGAGGGAGAACAAAGCCTTTAAGGGGCTGCAGGGCGCGCGGAGAGAAGGGCCCGAGAGAACGGAGGGAAACGCAGCATCCCTCTGGCTCCATCCCTGGAGGCGCCCGGAAGGCGGCCGGTTGCTATAGCGACGCGGCGGCCAGAACGGCGGCGCCCGATTGGCTGCGACGCGCGAGCCAATGAGGAGGCGCGATGTTGGCGGGGTCTTAAGATGGCTGCCGGGCGGCCGGCGACCGACGGGTGAGCGTCGGGGCGATCGCGGGGTCGCCTCTCGGGGCCGGGGAGTTCGGGGGCGCCGGCGCGGGGGCCACGGGAGCCGGGGCACGGCTGGCTCCGTCCAGGGCACGGGCGCGAGGCTACAGCGGAGGCCTGCGGGCCGGAAGGGGCGTCTCGGAGGAGGACGGGGCAGCGAGGGGAGTGTCCGGCGGCCGCAGCCCTGCCTTGCCCTGCCTTGCCCTGCCCTGCCCTGTCCGAGCCCTGGTGGGGACCCCCCGGGCTGGGCAGCGGGTGCAGGTGGGCGCGGCGCCCGCGAGGACCGGTGATCCCGGCCAGAGCCGCCCGCGTGCAACCCCGGTGAGTAGCCCTCCGCGTCCTCCCGGCGCCCTGGCCGGTCCGCCGGGGCCGGGGTCCCGCCCGCTGACCGCCGCGCTTGCAGCAGAACCCGCGTTTGCATGCAAAACAAAACAAAATAAAACAAAACCCAAAAAAGCAAAACCTTTATCCTTAGGAGTGAGCCAGGCTGCGGGTGCGGCTGGTCCCTGACATCCACAGGGGCGTGCGGGGGGTGGCAGTGGGGCGCTCAGCACCCCCTCCCCTTTTATTTTATTTTTTATTTTGTTTTATTTATTTATTTATTTATTTTGAGGAAAGGGAATGCATCATCCACGTCAGCGGGCCGTTTACGTTGCTGCCCAGGTGGCTTGCTCAGAAGTCTGTGCTCTTCCTAGTGGCATTAACCAGTTCCCCAGACCCAGAAACGGACGCGTGTTTCTAAAAAGTTGAGCAGGAGGGCGGTGGGTGAGTGTCCTCCGAGTTAGGGGTTGCATTCCCCTCGGACAAGGCTCCGATTTCTTTGTTGGGGGGAAAGTTTTCTAGCTGAAGACAGATTCTGGAGATTCCACAGCTCTGTTGATGAGACGGAAATTGAAAGTCCAGCGGGTTAGCAATGAGGGTACCTTTACCCAATCAGATGCTCTGATTAAGCACTCTTTGGCTTGTCCTATAAGCAGTTTTGGTTATAAAACAGCCCAGTCTTCCCAGGAAATGTGACATTATTGTCCAGCAGTGACGTTGATGGATGCGATTTCCCAAAGCATCTGACAGAGCTTCCTGCACTTAAGTATTTTTTTTTTTTTAGATTTTTTAAAGCAAATGTTTTTTAATTTTAACGAGTCTCGAATTCCTGGCAGAAATCAGTCATGTCTCCAAAAACATATCAATGAAACCTCTAAGAGTTTGTAGATGAAACCAAAGCGCTCTTATTTTTTTGTAAAATAAGCAGGTCAAGAGGCTAAGCGTTAGCTGTGGGATCTGTGAAAGGGTTTTCAGTAGTTACTCCTAGTGGAGGGGCTTTGAGGAATGGATGGAAAATCAGTGCCTATCCAGATGCTGTCTATAGCTGTGATATGTTGCATTTTGCTTTCTGGTTCTGTTGGCTGCCATCATAACGGGGCTTTTCTTTCCTTTGCTCTGGGCCTTCTTTTTAGGTCTCCTGCCGAACGCGCAAAGCGTTCCTTGAAAGCTATCGGTCTCGGTTGAGAAGAGAAGCCTCATCTCCTGGGCTTTGGGCTTTGCACAGTATTGTCTCTGACTAGGAGAGAATGGGGATGTTCTAGCAAAGATATTTGGACACATACACTTTTAAGATCTGCAAACGAACGTTTTGTAACTGTAGGTCATCGAATTAAGCTGTTCTGTTCTAGCTTCACAGTGCCCACCCAGACCAGTGGCTTGCCCACAGCTATGCGCTTCGGGACGAGAAACTCATCCCTTTGACTATGAAAATAGTTTTTCTTGTTACACCAGCGGTTCTCAATCCTTTCACACCCCAGGGTCCCTTTTATTATAATTTAATATCTCTGCGACTGCTGTATTTTTTTTTTTGGCAAGACTGTGTCCACTTTATTCTTTCCCTTAAAAATAAAGTGTATAAAAATAAGGTCTGTCATGCCCAGTCAGCCTCTGCCAAACAAATCATGTGGTGAGGTATAATGCTCCATTGAGTTTCAGCATCCCCCCCAGAGGGGTGGGGTATTGTTTGAGGAAAAATAAAAAAACATTGGGTTTCTGACTATTGAAATCAGCGTCTTTATTACTGGCTTTATAAAGCTGTAAAAAGCTTAGACCAGGAACTGCTGGACAAGAGCTGCTGGTTGGGATCTTGCTTTTCTGAGGAGCTGCCGTCTGCCCAAGTGTCTTCATAGTTTCTGAGTTTGATTTGCAGGGGCAGAGGAAGTCTAGCATTGCAGGCTAGAAGGATATGTTCATGATGTTTTCAGCTCATAGTAGATTGTTCGAGCTTAGGCCTGGAGATGTATACTGAGTACTATACATTGAGTTTTGTTTTTGTTTTTGTTTTTGGCAGCGAGTGGGGGGGGCAGGATAATTGTGGAAAGAAAGAAACCTTACCTCCACCGAACGGAGAGGCTGTCTGAAGGGAGGAAGAGATTCCGAATCATATACTTCGGGGCTAGAAATGATGACATTAAAAATTATTTACAGGCTGAACAGGGAAAGCTTATGAATTTAGCGCTTGGGTTACTGTATAGATCTGACTACAATAGATATGGAAGTGACAAAATTTCAGCATCTCCTGAGAATGACTGAGTAATTGTTAATATTAAAAGGTGACTCTGGTGTGACCAGGAAATAAAAAGAGCCTCATCCTTCCCAGCACACAAAATAGGACACCAGCAACCCTTAGGAATGTGGGGCTGACACGCCTGCTATGAACAGATCCCGGCGCAAACAAACCCCAAACCAGTCTGAACCAGCACCTCCATCTTAGCCTCTGAGGTGAGCCAGGGCTCTTGTGTGGCCACACTGCTTCCCAGGCTTCCCGGGCCACTGATGAATAGTTTATTGTTATTTTTTTGCTTGTTTTTCCTTCGTCACAGGAGAATGGCAGTCACCAGATTTGGGGATCCAGCTCAGGAATTGAGCTGAAAAACATACGTATCTGTATTATCCCTTTATGGGTTTGGTCCACTTTTTACAAGTTAATTTTTCTCTTTTTCTGTGGCACGCACCGAAAGTGATTGTATACCAGGCCAGAGCACAGGGATGAGAGTTTTATGTTGTGGTTTTTTTTTTATTATTTTAATGTTATTTTTGGTACCGTGATTATTATTATTATTATTATTGATAGTAGCAGGAGTTTCATGAAAACAAAGCAATAACATTCCAATACCACACAGCTATTAAGGGATAGCTGTTAATGCCACACAGTTCTTAATGCCACGTCAATCAGAGCGACAGATGGATGGTTTCAAGGAAGCCCCAGAAGCTAGTCGGAAATGGGAAACTGCTTGTGACTGAAGACCAGGCATGCCCTGGGCACAGCAGCGGCCGCGAGCCACTTTCTGCAGCCAGAGCTAGACCAGCCCTGCCTGGTGGCGGAGGCTGCAGTCAGCATGCCGTTGCATAGATCTTCTGCCTCTCCAATGCCGTGGCTGAAGGCCAGACTTGGCAGGTGCATGCAGCAGGACAGGGGAACTGAGTGCTCTAGAAGGGCCTGACGAAGTTGGGTGCTTCTGCCTGTTTTGTGTCCTGCAAACTTTGAGACATACTAGTACATGGTGGGCATGTGAGGGGTTCGGCGGCCGGGGAAAAGAACTTCGTTTATTTAACATGGAAGTTGAGGAGAGGAAAGAAAGCGATTTCAAGCATAGAACTGTGATTTTTGTAAAGAACATGATCCCCAGTGAAATCTGAAATTGGTTACTCTCCCGAAGTCCTGAAATGTATCCCATAGACCAGTGGCAAAGCTGCGTGGGAGCTAATTATCACCTCTTCCCCTGCTCCTCAGCACGCGAGGCATATTCTAATAATAGCATAGCAAATGTTTTTTCTTCAGTATTGGCATATTTTATATGATGTTCTGTGCACTAACAAAGCATCTCAAGATGCCTCCATTATTCCAACTTGCAGAATCCTCAGGCCAGGTTTTGGGGGCCCCCGGAGCTTAGATGATCTGCGGTCTCCTCTTGACAAGTGGAAATACACGTGGTGAATTGAAAAGACGGTTCAGTCCTTTGGATAAGCCCCTGAGGATGAAGAGCTTCAGGCCCTGTGCTCCTCCTGTTCAGATGCTTCTGATTTTATTCAAAATCAGAATTCAAAGCTCCATCCTGAAAATCAGACCCCAGCCCACAAGTAGGAACTCCATATTAGACTGTGGAGATTAGAAGGTAAATAACTTGTGTCAGTTGCTAAGTGATTATTCCTCAAACATTGGAAACTTCAAAACAAACTAACTTCGGGGACTGCTCCCTGTTGGTCACTCACTGCAGCCCATGGCCACAGAAGCAAGTTGCAAAAGGAACCCAGTGACTTTTATGGTTTTTTTTTTTGCCATTGTCTAAACGCCCAGTGTCAGGGAAGTTCAAAAGTGCATCCTTCACCTTGGTGAGTGAGGGTTGTGGCAAGAGCACTGAGGGATGGGAGTTCGCTCTCTTAATGAGTCTAGTTTTGGTGAGGCTGTTTCCAGGAGGTAGGAGTAAGCCTCTGAGGCTGGACCAGACCTGGGTAGTGGCCCCAGACAGATCTCAGGAGTCCATGATTCAGAGAAGGCAGAAGCTCCGGATCCCTTTGTCTTGGGGGAATGGTCGTGACCTTGGTATTGAACACAATTGGAACCGCAAAAAGTTCAGCCAAAAAGAATTCCACAGACGAATTTCCTCTGTATTGCTCCACATTACTCCAGATTTAATAGTAAATGATGAGTTGTGTAACAGATTCTGGCATGAGTCAAGTTTTGAATGAGCTGGTTCAGGCTCATTATATACACTGAAATAAGCATGTCATGTGGACCAGTGGGGAATGTACTGTTAGCATTTCAGCAAATGATTACAATTCAGATTTCTGAAAACAGTTTTTACTGAACTTAACAGGAGTACTAGTGCACTCTATCTCGGGGCCCTATTGGCTAATTTTTGTTTGTTGGGGGGCCATACCCATCTGTACCCCAAAATTACTCCTGGTTGTGGTTGGGTACCATGGGGGGTGCCAGGGATCGAACCAGGTTGACTGCATGCAAGGCAAGCACTTTACCTGCATACTATTTCTTCAGCCCCTAATACTAAATATTATCTTGAACTTTAATATTAGTTTCTCAGGTACTGTATTGTTATTCAAATAAGCTTTACGTTTTTGTTAAATTTTTGGATCACTCTCCATTTTTATTATTTTAACAAGAAGTATAAAATCTAAAACTGGAACATCCTGTGTTTTCACCAGTTTTCTTAGACTACTCATGCAGCTTATAAGTTTACCTGTGATTAATTACTTTTCTGCTACTTAGTCCTTTGAAAGTTTTATGCTTTCAATTACAAGTGAAAAATCTAACTTAATTTTCTTCTCTAATATTTGTAGCTGAAAATATCGAATTATATTTTGGTTCCTTTTGGGAGCCACACCTGGTGGTGCTTAGGGCTTATTCCTAGATCTTTACTCAAGGATTATTCTTGGAGGTGCTCGGGGGACTGTATGGGATGCTGACCTGGAGTCGACCTCATGCAAAGCAAGAGCCTGGACTGTTGTACTATCTCTCGGGCTCTTGTATTATGATTCGTAAATTGCCTGCATTGTACATTGTCAAGATTCTTAACATTATTGAACGATGAATGCTTCTACTGATTTTTTTAAAGCAATCAATGGCCCAACATTATTTTAACTATTTAATCTATAGGGGTGTCATAACAAACATTTAATCTACTTGAAAAAAATTTTAATTTACTATAAGTAAATATTTTTGTTATTTTAATATGAGTGTACCTCCTATTTTAGATTTAAAAAAAAAAGCTTAAGATGGGTTGTTCACTGTAGGATAACACTCTTTCGTCCTTCCTCAGGTAGCTTAGGTTTATCAGGTCACACCCATCTAAGGACACTGAACTTGTATTGTAAGCAATGTCCTTTCTGTGTGGACACAGGAAGACAGTTAGTATTATGCTTTGTAACTTGGGAGTTGGTTGACTCCGAATCATATTTACTCCTGGGCATCTGATTTCTTGACTCAGTTGCCCTTAGTCCCTAGCACCCCAAAAGCAGGGTCCCGACGAGGGACTGACTGGACCCAGGACAAGCTGTGAGCTACCCTGGCATCGAAATGGGCCAGGTCAAAGAGCCACGATACTCAACTATAAGTTGAGGGCATGATTATGGACAAATGCTGTCATGATCCAAAAGTAAGTAATGACAAGACTAGGACCCTGCTGGAGCTAGGAAGATTAACCTGGCCTGAGGACTGTGGAATGTATAGTGAGATGTTCTCAGGAAGAACCAAACTAAGTTTATATCTCTTACTGTGCTCATACAGAATGACATTGCTAGAAATATTAGAAGTAGATTTTATCTTTAATTTCCTGGAGGAGTGGTCTTACCTCTCTTTGTTGATTTGTCAATATTCAACCCACCTTTATGTCACCGCCTTACGTGATTGCTGTATAAACTAAGACTGTAAGCTTGGGTAGGAGAGAGTCAGAGCAAGAGGGGCTCAAGCTTGAGAGAAAGAACAGCTGTCCTGATCCAGGCACACGCAGGGGTCTAGAGCACCGAACGAACGCAGGCAGTGAGAAAGAGCCATCCAGTGAGCCCGTGAACACACAACCTTCGGTGTGTTAAGATTTTACAGTTCACAAACCATTGGAATAATGACTAGATTCCCAGGGGTCTCTTAATGGTTTTCGATTTTTTTTATATGTTTACTTCTTATATCTCGGCAGAGCCTGGCAAGCTCCCTGTGGCGTATTCAATATGCCAAAAACAGTAACAAGTCTCACAATGGAGACATCACTGGTGCCCGCTCGAGCAAATCGGTGAACAATTGCAGTGCTACTTCTTTAATGTCTCAATTTATCTTCTTCCCTGTAGGAGAAAAGATGTGGAGTGGGCTGCTCCCTCCTGGCCTAAATGAAAGTGATACCAATTTAGAATCTGAAGATGAAGCCACATCAGAGAGTTCTGGACCTAATTTACAGGGAGATAAGGTGGATGATGGGACCAAGGAAAACACTGAAACCACAGAGTGCCCTCCGGATGGACCCCGCACTGCGCCAGAGGCAAATGTAAATGCATACAAAGAGTGTCCTTCTGGGATCTCTCTAACTATGTGGGAGGTAAGTTTTCTCTGCTGAGGTTTTCTCGCTCTGTGTGTGTGTGTGTTTAAGACACATGCATGTACACTGCATTGACTCATGACTTCTTTTTGGGTCTGTGGCTAATCCATTGGATATTTGGACTTTCACTTTCATTTGATTTTCATTAAAAGAGGAAAAAAAATTGAAAGCAGGACTACTTACTTTGCCTGAAGTGATACACAAGTTTCTAGCTTAATTTTCTCTGCTATCTGTGTGGATGGGACATTAAATTTCACTCTTCAGAGATGGCTTATTTAGAAACAAATGAAAATAAAGACAGTTTCGAAAATATCTAAGAGGATAAATATTTCAAGAACTGAATTTTTATTTTTATATATGCTAGAATCTTATTTTTATTTCTTGTGGGTTTTAAATGCTTTCTTCCAAATATTTTGTTTCTGCTTTTATATAGAAATTTCAAGAATTGCATAAAAGAAATTCTGAACAGACAGCTGCGAATTCAAGATTCAGGAGGAAGAGAAGAAAACGTTCCAGAAAAGGTGTTATGTTTTAAATGCAGGTCAATTAAGAGTAGTGCTTAGTATTAAATTTTGACAGAGTTCAAGAATTTTGAATAGATTGAATTTTGAATTCACAACTACTTAGATATTGATACTTTGTGATTTTTTTCTTTTTTAGGCAAATTAAACAATGAAGAAGACGAATCTCAGAGGTGGGTGAGATTAAAAGTAATGCTTTCCTGTTCTAGACGAAGTAAGATATGTGAAAGTAGTTGGAACCACACACCTCTGATAACTGGTCGTTGCAATTGTAGTAGCCAATTAAAAAGTCAAAATAAAAAGGAGCACATCTGGTGTATGACACGTATGTCACTATCTTCCTGTAGTGGCCAGCCCTCCAAGGAAGATGAGTGGAAGGAGCTTACTCAGTATTTTGGAATCAATGAGAGGTTTGACCCCCCTGTTAAAAAGAAGAAGGTTGAGAAGGTGAGCACATTTTACGTTTGCTGTTAGGAAATATTTGTGATTAGCTTACTGTGAGGTCTTTGTACTCATTTTGACTTTTTTTTTTTTTTTTGGTTAAGTGAAAATGCCTGCCGTGTGCCAGACAGTATATGCTCAATGTATCAGGAAGTAGATGGGTACAAATGAACAGTGACAACTTGGTAGAAGGGACGTGAACGGCCGTTGTGAAAAAGTTAGGGTGGGAGTCCCACCTTAGGTCAGGTGTCCTCTTTCTCAGACGATGACTTTTTCCTGAGATCCCAAGGATGAGCAAGGAATCTGTATGAAGAGAGGCAGGCAGAGAGCAAGCACGTGGGACCTTGAGGGGCATGGGAAGGAACTGGGGTTAGACATATCGAGGGTTTGAATTTTCAGAGGAGTACCAGGATCCACGGTTTCCCTGGCTCTTATGTGGAGAGTGGGCAGGAGGGTGGCAGAGCTAGTGGGGGAAGAACAGTGAAGACACTTGTCAGCAGGAGATAGTGGTTTGACCAAGAGTGGGGTAACTGCAGATGGAGAGAAGTGGAGAGAATTGAGGAATTCTGTGGGAACTTTTGCCTTTGGATTGCTTGTACCTGGAGGGATGGGTGGTGACAGCCAGGGGAGAGAGACACTCAGGATTTAGCCTTGAGCTCCGGTAGAATAGCGATGCTTGTTAGGAAGGTGGGAAAGCTGGGGAAGGACAAAGATACTGAATGAGGCCTGACCAGGGTCCCTTGGGGCATCAGCTGGTGAAGGCCAATGAAATAAGGAAGGCCTTTGGTAGAGTGGCAGCAGCTCGGAGCCCATTCCAGCTTTAGAGTCACATCTGGAAGTGTCAGTCTGCTGGACATGCTAATTGTGGAGTCTTCAATGAAGGAGTAGCTTAGCCTACAGATTCATGTGGAGAATGTTGACTCCGGGAGCACAGAGTTGAGTACAGAGTGCTAGAGCCATAGGCCCTGGAGGCTCGGTGAAGACGGGTCGGCCATATTCCCGGTACTTTCTTTATGGATCACAGCTGTGGGCAGTCATGTGCTTTGACACCACTGCCATTTTCTGATTCATCCATTGCTCACGTGAAAAATGTGTGATTTTTCAACCTATCATTGGGGGTGGAGGTGGGTGGTTGCCATGGGGACTCAGGCACGAGGAACTGACAGCAGAATTGTCCATGTGGGACTCTTGATTCCAGCTACACCAGGAATTCATGTGACCTCATCCTTGAACACTGGGAAATTGAAACCAGGATCACCGCATACCACAACCAGGTGCTGGAATGAGAAGCCTCCTTTTCACGGTGTTTTAGCAGAAATGCTAAATTTCTTAGCTGATCCCCAGTAGAGTGGAAGCTAAACCCAGACTCAGTGATCCCCTCTCTCTGCACTCTCTGGACTTCACTGATGCAGGGACTGGTAGGCTCGTGTCCCTTGTGATTTTAGGGGCATTGAAAGGAGATGGTAGACCACGTGAGGTTGATGTTCTTCCTGGAGCGACCTAAGGCATCTAAGGCATCAGGCAGGAAGTCATGCAGACAGCAGTGGGCCACAGTCACCTCTGCCCTTTGTTAATTGGGCCCCAGATACTGTCTAGACTGTCCTTTTTCAAGAAGGTTTGGTTAAATATTGGTTTTCCCAAGAAATACTATTTAAAGTCTTACTTATGGGCTAGGTGGTCCATGTTATTCCGTAACTTATAGTGCTTATGCAGCCAACATGGCCGACCCGAGTTCGATTCCTCCGCCCCTCTTGGAGAGCCCGGCAAGCTACCGAGAGTATTCGATATGCCAGACACAGTAACAACAAAGTCTCCAATGGAGACGTTACTGGGCCCGCTCGAGCATCGAGCAAATAGTGCTTATAAAGGTCTTTTGGACCATTGACTTACTCCCGTGCTGCCCCCCTGGAGTGTGACCATGACTGAGGGGTGCAGTAGTAGCTTCAGGTACCGCTTTTTGTTTTCTGAAAGAAGGCAGATTTTCACGGAGGCACTGAGTCGTTGATCCCCCAGCCCCCGAAAAGGGGTTGGCCAAATAAGTCTGGGAGCTGCAGACTTAGGTTGTTTCTCAGTCTAACTAAAGTGATCCAATTGAACTTTTTTAACCATTCTAAAAAGTAGAAATTTTAAGTATTTTATGATCTACCTTTATTTGAATTTTATTGTCATTCTACTTATATGAAATTCTGTCATCTTGATGCTGGGCCAGATATAGCTCGGTCTTACTGCTTGTCTGGGATTTGGAATTTGTGCTATAACCTTTAACAAGGTTGCTAGGATTCCTGATGCAAAAGTCTTTTAGACTACTAGGTTGCAACAGGAGTTTCTGGCTCTCATTATGTAGTGGGTATATTCTAGAAAAAAGTAAGTTAAACTACTGTAAGTAAGATTTCTGACTAGGGAAGTTCACTTGAATTTCCTTGTGCTTATCCATGGATCTGTTTTATAAGTTACAGATTTTTTAATGGTAGACATTTTTCTACATGAATGTCGTCTAACTAAGAAAGTCCTGACAGTCTCCTGAGGAAGCTGATTTTGGCCAGGCTTGGCTTTGCCCAGTGTTTTGCCAGTACCCGTCACTCTGCCCATCACCCCAAGCAGGAAAGAGAGAAAGAATTCCCTATACTGGCTTCCCTTGAGCTCTCTTCTGGGGCGGTGTCTCTGCTTGCCTGCAGGCTCCTGGCTCCCTGGGGTGGGGTTGCTTTGCACCACCCTCTCCCTGCCGAAGTTTCTATGGGAACCCAGCAGAATAAATCGATGTTAAAAATGTCCACATCAGAGCACCAAGATCAAGTGAAGAATAAATCTAGGTCTAGCAGCTAGTAGCTGCTGCTCGAGAAATCTAGAGAGAGGCTCATGAAGAAACGCAGTTTGGGTAGGCTGGCCCCGATTTCCAGGCTTTGATTTTATTTCTCTGGAGCAGAGACTGATCTGTCTCCATTTCTTGGGAGTCTTTTCATTCGCTCTCCATTGAGCTCTACCCTCAGCAGGAAGACAGGACCAGCTTCTTGGTCTTGTGCCTCCCACACAGTCTTCTCCCCGCCTTCCCTTTGGGAGTGCTGCCAAGCAGACCCCGCTGCTCCACCAGGAATGTGTCTTTACAGCCCTGCTCTCACCTGCTTCCCGACAGACAGCGCAGAGAGGCTGGTGCCTCTTAAATGTGATCTTCCTGATAGCCAGAGCGGTTTGAAAGTGATCTTTGTATTGCATGCAGCGATAATTGTGTTTCTGGCGGCAGTTCTGGGACTTCCTAATAATTCGGTAATCACAGCATTAATTATTTTGAAATCTATAAGGGACTTTCTTTAGAATGAATTTCTTTATAAATGTCTAAGTCCTTAATTGAATCAGTTTGATTAGTCAGCAGTCATTATTGAAGTAGTTTTATGTATGTTTCATGGAGATTTTTGGCACCGAATCAGAGGCACTTTTGATCGTTTTTAGATTAGTTATTCAGTGTCTCTGGTAGTTTCTTTTTTTCCTTCTTTGGGTTTTGAGTGTAAACTACTGTTGTGTGATTTAGTATAAATACATAGATATGCGTTTTTTAGTAGAATGCTTTTCCCAAACTGGGGCATGGATGCAGAGCAAAGGCTTCCTGCCTACATGGGTGAACAGAGGGCAGAGCTGTGGAGGGTTGGGGGAATTTGGTGGGCTATGCAGTCCCCCCAAAGCATTCTCTCTTGATCCTTGTGTGCATCACGATCAGGTCAGACCAGAACTATTCTGATCACCTAGATGAAAACACAACTGAGATTTGTCTTAACAAAACCCCCGAGTGGGCCCAAAGTAAAACTCTGACCCAAGTCATTTTGTTTCTAACAGAGGCTCTTCTGAAGGACTAACCCAACACAGTTTTTCCTGTGTCTTAGGTAATTTTAACAGGTTCGATTTATAGGTAAAGTTTACGACACTAATTCTTAGCCCATCACCCATATCTTAATGGAGCCATGGCTTAATTTCTTTCCTAGCTATTTAGATATCATCATAGTACGGCAAAGTCTGGGGGTAATTCATCTGTATCAAGCTTTCAAAATTAATATATTAACAAACTAAACAAATAGCATATCTGCAGAACTGTGTCGTGATGCAGTTTCACCTAAAGAGCTTTGCCTGCATGTTTGAGGATACTCTGACCAAGTGCCCACGTGCCGGCTGCCCGTTGATCTCTCAGGGGCATGCGCTGCTGCCTTCCTGATGCTCCCCAAAGGGTGCTCAGGTCCTTCTGGGAATCTGTACCTGTGATCAGATCACCATCCCTAAATTGGCTGGTCTGCATTGAAATCTGCTTACACTAAATTCTGATTCTTGCCAGAAGGTTTCTCTGAAGCACACTAAGGCCGTGCTGAGCGTTGTGGGAGCATGTGCCTTGTACCTCACTTGTTGCTGGGAAGGTCTAAGATAATGCCAGAGAAGGTTCCCCTCAGGTTCAACTGTCGCCTTTGGGAAAGTTTCATACTCTGTGCTATTTCATGTAGTTTCTCACCACTCACATATGAGACCCTGGTCTGAGCCTGTGGAGAACTCTGATGAGGCCCGTAGCTGCACAGGACTAACCCTTCTCTTTGTTGATGGTGCCCTGATACTTATACGCAAGAGGTGCAACTTACTTATTGAATGCCTGCAATATGCTGAATATGTTGCTAGGTATTTTATTTATATGTATATGTATATATACATTTTTATATATATATTTTATCTTAACCTTGTTAAGGATGTGCTATTACTGTTTTCACTTTGCAAGTGAAAGTCCCAACCTGTAAGAGTTTCAGAGACTCACCCAGAGTGCCTGGCTAGCACAGGAATGAGAATCTGAACCCAGTTCTCATCAGCCTTCACTAATAAGATGTGGGCTTAGGTTGATGTAAGTGCTTTGCATAGTGATGTTTTTTTTACTAGCATTGGCATCTTGAATGTGTTTGAAATGTTAGTGTGATAGAGAAAGTTTGGAAGTGCTTGCAGGACCAGAAATTTTTCATAGTTCAAGGAACCTACTAAATTTTACT